ATTTAATTGCTCTGTGCAGGCAGAGGAGAAATCGTGAATTGTTCGGAAGAACAAAATAGCGATCTTTTCGAAGCTGTGCTCGGAGGGTTAGGACAATTTGGTATCATAACACAGGCTAGAATTGCACTTGAGCCAGCTCCAACTATGGTAAATAACTAATTACATATTGGTTTTCCAATTAAGATTAGACCAAAAAGACAGATAAAATGATCAATTGTCCATTACTAAATGGAGTAGCTGTTATGTCTTGTTTTCTAACAGGTTAAGTGGATAAGAGCACTTTACTCGGATTTTTCTGTGTTCACGACCGATCAAGAACGGCTCATATCTTCTGAGAACTCTTTCGACTACATTGAAGGCTTTGTCGCCATAAATAAAATGAGCCTTTTGAAGAACTGGAATTCGAATTTCACTCCTAGAGATCCTATCCTTGCCGACCAGTTCGTGTCAGATGGAAAGATTCTGTTTTGCTTAGAGGTCGCGAAATATTTCCGGCTCGAAGATTCTCCTTGCATTGATCAGGCAAGACTTGAAAAGTTCAAAAAATGATTTGATTTTCGGGTTATAGAATTTTTTTTAAGGGCCCTTTTTGCTAATTCGTGCAGGAAATCGAAAATATTTTGTCGGGACTTAGCTACATTGAGTCCACACTCTTCGAGACGAAAGTCTCGTACGTCAATTTTCTCGACCGAGTGCACATTTCCGAAATTACCCTCCGAGAGAAGGGCTTATGGGAGGTACCTCACCCCTGGTTGAATCTTTTTGTTCCCAAAAGCAGCATTCGCGAATTCGCGGAAAAAATATTCGGAAATGTCGTTAAGGAGACGAGCAGTGGTCCTGTTCTAGTCTATCCGGTCGATAAATCAAGGTACGGTAAATAGTAAAAAAAAATTACGGCCAGTGTTCGAGTACGAGTTTTAGTATTTTTTTTTTTATTTTCATGTGAAGGTGGAAAGTACATCGAAAGTCGCTAATCACGCCCGATGAGGATGTTTTCTACTTAGTCGCGTTTTTATCTTCGGCAGATAAAGATCGTCTGGACAGCATTTTAACTCGGAACGAAAAGATTCTCGATTACTGCAAGAAGTCGAAACTCGGGATCAAACAGTATCTGCCTTATTACAGCACTACAGAGGAGTGGAAGGCGCATTTCGGGTCACGATGGGACCTTTTTTCGAGAAGGAAGTCGGATTACGATCCTCTGGGAATCTTGGCTCCCGGGCAGAGGATTTTCCAAAGGTCACGTGTGATCGGGCAACAATAAACGAGCTAAGAGTTGCGAAAAATGTTCACTTATGGCATGGGGAAATTGATGAAAAGAAATAAAATGTATCATATGTTTATCATTTTATGTGATTTTATAGTACTTGGATGTGTCATAAAATGCTAATAAATACTGGAATTGGGAATTATGTTATGGAAGTGATGAAAGTGTGTGTTGTGTGTTCACTGTCTTTGTGCACGACATTTGCTTTTGATAAATTTACTGGTAAGAATGTAAATTTATACAAAATTCATATTAAAAGTCAGCTTATAGTGTATAACAATAAAATTTTCAATGGATATTTCAATGCAATTTAATATTTCAATATTAAAAGTTTTGAAGGAGATCCTGTTAGAATATCACTTATGAGTTGTCTCACAGCATCCATACATCGAAAGTAGACCCACCTTATAAGACTAGTGGGTTACTCCTCGTTCCAACAATTGGTTTTGGGATGGAACCACATTTGAGCTTCATATGGGCTTTTCCCGTTTTCTCATAGTGCGCTTCATGATAGTGGGCCCGCACTCATTTTCCTCCAGTTTCTGTCAGAACCGGTTCTACCTGGTATCAGAACCGGTTCAGTTTCTGTCATGGTATCAGAACCGGTTCTACCTGGTATCAGAACCGGTTCTACCGTGCGATGACGTACCCGTTTATGGGAGCCTACTTCTAGTAGGATTTGGGCACCCAGCTCCGTATATGGGCTTGGGCTTTCGAAGGGCACTCATTTTCCTCCAGTTTCTGTCATGGTATCAGAACCGGTTCTACCGTTCGATGACGTATCCATTTTTCCCCACGTACCCGTTTATGGGAGCCTACTTCTAGTAGGGCTTGGGCACCCAGCTCCGTATATGGGCTTGGGCTTTCGAAGGACCTACAAGTGAGGGGGCGTGTTAGAATATCACTTGTGAGTTGTCCCACATCATCTATACATCGAAAATAGACCCACCTTATAAGACTAATGAGTTACTCCTCCTTCCACCAATTAGTTTTGGGATGAAACCCCATTTGGGCTTCATATGGGCTTTTCCCGTTTTCCCATGGTGCGCTTCATGGTAGTGGACCCGCACCCATTTTCCCCCAATTTCTGTCAGATCCGAAATTGTTATGTTGGAATTAAATTTATTTAGGAATTCCAATTGAAATTTAATGGTTCAGCAATAACCTTTTTATTNAATTACCATTAAAATATTCAAATTGGAGTTGTTTTTGTTGACAATTTTATCCCGTCGTAGTCAAATCTCAAAATTCTAAAGAAAAATGATATTTTTGGACTTTTATTAAAAATTTTAACTGAAGTTATGTCACTAGGATAGTTATATCAGTGCCATAAAATGGCTCAAAATTTGGCTGTCCACAGGCTTGCGACCTACAACTGCACTGACTTCATTCGGTTTCAGTTGGTGGATTCTCCTTGATGAAATTTTCTCAATTCAAAATAAACAAAGCGGTAAATATAGGAGGACCCACTGTACTTTTGAACAAGACTCAAGCGCTCGCCAATATTCCACTCACCATCACAACATTGCATACAATGTTAGTTCGAATTGGGAATTATAGACGCTAATCACTATATGAATCAATAGATGATCATAAATAATATTTAAACATTCCTAAAACCAATATTCCACTCACCATCACAACATTGCATACAATGTTAGTTCGAATTTGTAACATCTCTAAATTGGTACATAACATTCTAGTCAAAATTTAAACATAGGAAATATCCCCCCCGAAATTAACCAAACAGCTAAAAACAAGTAACCCAAATCTAACTCCACAAGGTTACACTATCTATTATAACATACATTAGTTAAGATTTCATTTTTTTTTTTCTTTTGCCCGTTCAAACCCATGAATGTCACGAACAAGCCATTTTAGTTATTCGTGGCTATTTTAACGTTGTCCTCCACAAACTCCGGAGTCCTCTCTCTACATATCCTCTTATCTCTNAAAAAAACAAAAAAAACAACCACCACCGTTAGACCATCTCCACCGCGGCCATCGTTAGTTCATCATGGCCATGCACTTTCCGGCAACTTTCACGGCGTGCCTACTTTTGGCCAACCTTTTGACCATCGTGAGTTCGACCAATGAAATTGAAGTTGGTAAGAATATCACAATTAATTCATCAATCCATCTTTTTTACACGAAATTGTTTCGTTATTGTGTTTGTTTGTAAAATGAGTGGAATACTCGGGGCCCTTTCGACAGGTCAACAATACATTTTAATTGGCTTCAGACTAGTCTTTAGGTCATCTCACACAAGAATTATGAAAAACACAAGATTATGATTATATGACGTGTGTGTGAAGTTGATTTTGTTTGTGTTTCGATTTTTAGAGGACGAACATCCGTTTACATACGAGGAGAATACCGAGAAGGGTCCCGAGCATTGGGGGGACCTAAATCCGAGCTGGCGAGTTTGTGATACCGGAAACTTCCAATCTCCGATCGATTTACGCCACGAAAAAGTCGAGCTTTTGTCGGGGCTCGGGCAATTGAGGAGAACGTACAAACCGGCCCCAGCTGTAGTGAGAAATCGAGGACATGATATTATGGTAATTTTGGTGAAGGATAAAAAAAAAATGTATTTGATTATTATTATTGTTAATTATTTGATTTTTTATTGTTAATTGTTTTTTTTAATCAGGTACAGTGGAAAGGGGATGCAGGGGGAATTATTATAAACGAGACTCGGTACAACTTAATCCAATGCCATTGGCATACTCCTTCTGAACACCGTGTTGATGGGAAAAGGTTATTATTATTATTATTATTATTATTATTATTATTATTATTATTATTATTATTATTATTATTATTATTGAACGTTATTTTTTCTCTCATAATTTGTTTAGAATTGTGAAATAGTTAATTTTGGTAAATTTAAGTATACACATGGAGCACTGGTTTTAAGAGCATCTGCAATGTTTTGAGACTAATTTTGCTTATGTGACACTTAAATAGACTTAAGTCTGACATAGATAAAAATATTTAAAAGTAACAAAATTGACTCCATTGCAAAGAGACTGAGTCTCTACTTGGGTCTAAAATAGACTTAAGGGTAGACTGTATCTCTTTTTCTTGATGACACATTAGCACGACTCAGTCTACTTGCACTTACATTGGAGAGTATATTTTTCTAGACAGGGTCTATTTTCTACGTGGCATGGGTGCTCTAATTGTTTGGATCATCTCAAGGATTGTGTGTGTGATCTGAAAATTGTTCACGATAGGATCGGATTTGCCCATGATTTGAAATAGCAAAGATCGAAAGTTCAAGCAACGAATAATCAATACAGAAGAAATTGTTTTTTTTTACTATTACAATATGAAATAATATTTCCTCAACGTAATTATATTAATTGGTGACCTATAAATTTAATATGTGATGATAATTTTTGACACTGATTATTATTACTCGTTCTTAATTGNTTTAATATGGAGTTGCATATGGTTCATAACAACTCACAAGGACAAATTGCTGTCGTGGGCATATTGTATGCATTGGGGCGTCCAGATACGTTTCTCACGAAGGTGGCTGGCTATATTAGCCCAATTTAATTCTTGATTAATTATATAATCACTATTAACTCTTGAAGTATTTTTCTTCCTTCAGCTTTTACCAAATATAACATCACTTAATGAGGAGGGAAATGAACTGGGTGTTGTTAATCCATGGGAAATCAAGTTTGGAAGTAGAAAATACTACAGATACATTGGTTCTCTTACAGTGCCACCATGCACAGAAGGTGTTATTTGGACACTGCTTACAAAGGTTAGTTCTACACCAACTTATATAATATATCTTCTATCTTATTCAATATTCCATTTCTTAAATTATTTGTCTTAGAACAACTAATTAATAATTTGCAGAAATTCTATGAAATCATTGGACAACTCCTTTATATATTAATATCAGTCCTAAATGTATTTATTTTAACTAGAAGACATGTCACTACACCATTTGTGATTAATTATGAATGAGAACCCTATAAATTGTGTCATTCGATTGCTCCATAAACAAATTGATTATGCCATTGTTAATTGAACTCTGTCATTAAATATTCTTACATATTGGCATTTGTTTTGTGTAGGTGAGGACAGTGTCAAGGGAGCAACTAAGAGCATTGAGAGATGCAGTCCATGATGTAAGTGCAATTAAATAAAGAGGATCAATTTGAAATTTAGATATTCATGATGCATGTAAATTCATATATATTATTGTTTTCATATTTTATTTTTTGAAAGATATTCCCTTTTTTTGTTGTCTTTGTAGGGTTTTGAGGAGAATGCAAGACCAACTCAGAGTTTGGATGGGAGATCTGTATACATGTATCACCCTGAGCTTTGAGAATTCCAGCGCATGGATATATCATTGCTTTTGATACTATTTAAGAGAGATAGTATTTATTTTATCTATGTTTCGATGTAGGGTGTGTGGTCAAGGTGTTTGGCTTATTCATTATGTTAATTTTTTTCATGTTTGAACTCAAATGAGTTTTAATGTGTCATGAACCAATTGAAAAAGTGGAATTATGATAATACTCATGTGTTTTGTAATTACCATAAGTTAGCTTATAAACTTATGGATGCAAATAATTTTTTGTTGGTAGGATTCACTTTTTTTGAAAAGTTCAAATTTAATTTCTAACTTCCTTGTGTAGTTTTTTTAAATAAATTGTGAAAATTTTTAATTCAATTGACTTATATACTAGTTTTATCAAATACTTTTATCATATAAGCTAATTTTAAGTCATAAGTTATCGACTATAAGCTCGAAATTCACTTAGAGTGTAGTAAGCACCATAACCTTGTTGGGTTTTAGATCGTGTAACGGAATTTTTTAAATTTTCTTACCAACAACGAAGATCCGGCTATAGCTATTCGATATGACCCTAGGTCGTGTGAATGATCAACGAAACTTACAGTTGTTCTTCTATGCCCTCGACTATAGTATCCACGCAATCCAATTTGTCGATGCATGATCTAACGCCAATAAATCTATTCCGGTGAAGAAGTTAGGAATCTTCAACCAGAAAGGAGAGTGTGTTCTTTCGATATTGATCTCTCAATCTCTATGATTTTTGTATCTCTCAAAGTGTTTCTCTTATTCATCGATCAAAGACTATGAAGAGATAATGAGGTATTTATAATTAGATCAAACCTAATTATATGGGCTTTAGGATATCCTACAGCCCAATATGTAATTGGATCTAATCTAATTAATAATATAATTAGAGATAAATCTAAATTAACTTAATTAAATGTTTACTATCAAATAGAAAATAATCACATTACTCATAAATAAATATTCCAATCTAATTAAATATTTGAACTCTCGATTCACTATTAGTCGGAAAACTGATTGCATATTGTGTGACCCTATACATAGGCCTTCATATACTGACATAAATCTATTATGATCCTTATGAAACTCCTAGACTGTGTCAAAGGACAAATTCAAAATATGAAGTACGTTTACAAACAAACCTTTAGTGTAGAACTCAAATGTGATACGGTTCCTTCATTCACGAACCACTCGATTAAGCTTAGGACTTAAACGTGTATCTATCCAAACAGATTAATTATTTTATCTCACATTACTGGAAGATTTTAATTAATTATATTTGAACACCATTTCAAATATAATCACGTGCATTGGCCACTGATTTTATCAACTCAGTATAAAGAAAATGAGTGTTCTCAAAATTATATTCGAGGAATGAATCCTACCTCGGCTCAACTACCAATTACATGCATGTCGTGATCTACCCAACACAAGTCCGTGTCTAACCCATAAGGAGCGTGAGCGTTGGAATAGGTCTAAGTAAATCACTCTATACATGAATTGTGTATTGACCTCAAGTCAAAGGACTATTACACCATTCCACACTCCATAGGCACATAAACAAATGGTTTATCGGTAGGGTATACCAATATTCTCTAACATATCTATGTGTCAATCAGGAATAAAAATTACTCATAGTAGAGAGACATACTATATTCTTCAAGAAAATGATGCAGACCACATGTCAATCTATCGCGTATCATTAATATATCTTCTTAGTGATCATTGATTGCGGCGATTTGAGAGTTATACTTTATCAATTACTTCTTACTCTGTTAATGACAGTATAAACTCACGAGAGCAATTAATCAATATATTGCAAACTTTCAAATAATTATTTAATAAATTGCAATATCATAATTATAATCCAATATAATATTAATATTAAGGTGATCATATATATATGTTCTCCAAAAGATTGTCTCTATAACACATATATCAACAAACCTGCGTTTTGTATTCAAATAAGTTTGAATTCACTTAGAGTGTGACATACACCATAAGCTAGCTTATAAACTTTCTGTATTCAAATAAATTTTGTTTGGTAGAACGAATTTTTTTAAAACTTTCAACCTTACCTCATAAGTTTTCTTGGTAGCTTCTTAATCAAGCCCATTGAAATTTTTATTTCAGTTAATATCAACTAATTTTATCAAACACTTATATCATATTATATAGTTTTTCTTACAACTTATAAGATATCAATCAACTTATCACGTAGACTTATCAAACATAACTAATATAATGATGTATGTTCTGTACCAAGTGAAATAACCATGCAAGAAAAGTAACATTTGGTGAACAAATTATAATTTATTTTGTACCACATATTTTACCATGTATGCCCAAGTTCCAAATTGTGTTGCCTCTCAAATATGATATACATTTATTCTGTAATTTATTTTACCAAAATACGTTATTTTATTTAATGATATTATGCAATCAAGATACTTGGAGAAAATAAACATTTTATATCCTTAAGCTGGATTTGATACTTTGTAGAAATATTGATTGTTTGTGATGATAAAAACAATGATACATTTTCAATATTGGATAAATTATTTACCATTAAGTGAAATTAATTTATATTATCATAAACTATATAGATTCAATATACTTTTGGAAAACCATCACTTGTTAGCCTTATAATGTGATAGAAAGACCATATTGTCAACAATTACCTTTATTTTTATACAAGCCACGATCAAATGGTCATATATTTTCAATAGATATGCATAATTTATAATTAAAATATAATTCTCTAAAAAATAATATAAATAACACATCAATGCATTCTTATTATAAAAATTCTATTAAAAAGTTACCTCAAACACTATTCGTGATACAAATACAAATATATTTTAGCTACGCAATATATATTACTCAAAAGAATTACAAAATTAGGTCATTTTTTTTTTTTTNTCCTAAAACATAGGAAAAACAAAACAAAGGAAAAAAAGAAAAAGAAAAAACTCAACCAGAAGAGAACGGCATAGGAAAAGAAGCCCCGCGCACTTTAGCAAAGCTCAAGCTCCCTCGTAGCCGGCTCACGTTAGCATCGACCCATGGACAACTCCACCTATGCCCCGGCTTCCCTCTCCTCTTCACCTTATCTCTCTCCCCCGTCACCCCTCTTTCTATATCTCTTTCTCTCTCTAGGGTTAGGGATAACTCTTCATCTCCTCCACCGCCTCTCTCGAAGCCCGCCTCAAAAGAAAAAAGCTTCCCTTTCTGAATTAAACCTTTCTCCTCCAATGCCCGTCGCAAAATCGTGGCTCCATCGTTGTGCTGACTGTAACAGAGCTCATGGACTCCAAGAAGAAGCACTTTTATGCGAACCTCTTCAATCTTGAGGTACGTTTTCAAATGGTTTTTTGTTTTATCCTTTTGTCTGCAATTGAGGGCGTGTTTCGATTATGGCGATCTGGGTCTGGGTTTGATGTGGAGTGGGGAGAGTTGTTATATTTAATGCTTTAGTGGTGTAGTGATGCGCAATTGTTTTGGTCTGATGACTGGGTTTGTGGATTTAGTGATTGTTTACTTTGATGAAAATGTTGGTTTTGTGTGGTATTGATTATGGATTCATTTGTTTTTTCGTCGATTTTTGCCATACGGTTGACACTTGCTTTCTCTTTGCAATCACTCTACATGCCCATTTGTCTGTGTGTCAATAACTTTGCATGGAGAAATTTTTATTTTCAGTTTTATCATTCATATGAGCTGTTTATATTTATTTATTTTGGTGGCGTGTGGTGATATCTTGTGTTTGTTGGTTTTCTGGTAATTAGGTGTAGCAACAGGGGAGCGTGTAAACGGAATAATGTTGGACAGGGTATCCAAGAAAAAAAGACGGAGTACTTATAGCAGTGACGAGGAAGAAACTGGTAGTTATAGTCCGTTTATTTCGGAGGAACATTATCGAGCAATGCTTGGAGATCATATCCAGAAGTATAAGAGGAGGACAAATTATTCCTCTCAAAGTCCTGCCACCACAAGAACTGGAACTACAGGAATGAAAAATAGTGTAAACCTGAAAGATCAGAACTTAGTGAATAACAACAGAGGTGGACTGCAAAAGCTTGAGTCAACTTCGGATTTTCCCAGCAGTGGTAATTCCAAAAAACTTGGAAATTATCCAGAAACTGATTTTGGGCTGCATTATGCTGCTGCCAGGTTTGCTTCATTCTCTCTTCATTGATTATGGAGACAATTGATGTATTCTGTATGTATTAGAGATTTTGTTGGTCTTGATTTCTGCTAAACTTTACTAGTTACTAATGGTTATAATTAGAAGAAAATTATATACCTAGGGTTTAACTTTATGAAATGTTTTTTATTTTTTTGTTATTATAACTAGGCCCTTCTATTTATCAAAACAATTTATGAGCTATATATTACTGTATATTTTAGCAAAAGTGATTAAATACTTTAAATGTGAAGAGTTTATTGTAATTTTGAATGTACAGGTTATTGTAGTAGGTATGCTAACTAGGAGGGATATTTTTGTTAATAAAAATTTGTCCACAATGTAATACGTCATTAAAGTGCTTGTTCACAGTTTACTTTATACCTGGTGAGTATGATTCCAGTTGGGAATGTGATGCATAACACACACAATTATTCATGTACACAATTATGTATTGACAATGATCCACCTGTATGTTAGTGTATTGGTTGGATTTCTTCATGATTGATATGCCAATTATTCATCTGGCATGTCTATGAAAAATTTGCAGGCCGAATCTGGAACCCTCCTTTCTGGATATTGGTGATGGCATCACGTACAGAATCCCTCTTCCATATGAAAAGCTGTCATCATCCCTGAATTTACCGAGTATGTCAGATATATGGGTGGAGGATTTTTACTTGACGGGTACCCTCGACTTGGGGTCTTTAGCTGCAATGATGGCCTGTGATAGCAAATTTAGGCAGAGGAGTAGCTCAGGAGTGGGTGAACCCAAACCCCAGTATGAGTCTCTTCAAGCAAGACTGAAAGCACATCAAGCCAATAACTCTGCAGATAATTTCGGCTTAAAAATAAGTGAAGCCGAATTAAGATCTAATGGCATCCCAGAGGGAGCTGCTGGAGGTATCAGGCGGTCTATTTTGTCTGAGGGTGGTGTTTTGCAAGTTTATTACGTGAAAGTTCTGGAAAAAGGGGATACATATGAGGTTAGAGTTTCTTTCTTTCTTTGTTTCTTTTTTTCTTCTTTTTTTTTCCCCCTTCTTGGTTTCACATAATGATTTCATAGATATTCATATGGGTGAATGAATATGTGGTGGTGCAGATTATTGAACGTAGTTTGCCTAAATATCCGAAGTTGATGAAAGACCCTTCCATCATAGAGAGGGAAGAAATGGAAAAGATTGGTAAATATTGGGTTAATATAGCAAGAAGAGAAATTCCAAAACACCACAGGATTTTCACCAGCTTTCACAGGAAGCAATTTATCGATGCGAAAAGGGTTTCGGAAACCTGTCAAAGAGAGGTCCGTATTACTAGAGACATGTCATTGCAATCTACGGTTTTTCTTTATCAACTTGCTTTTGATTATTTTTGAGAAACTTTTTTCTGCTGAGAAGTCTTTACAGCGAAAATGCTTCAATTTTCAACTTTTTTGCAGGTTAAAATGAAGGTCAGTAGATCACTAAAATTAATGAGGGGAGCTGCAATCCGGACAAGGAGAATGGCTAGAGACATGCTAGTTCTTTGGAAGAGAATTGACAAGGAGATGGTATATTTTTTTTTTTTAGTTTTTTTGTTTATTTTTCTTTTTTAGCATTAACCCTGTAACATGCTAATTATGACATATGTTAGCGATTGAACTGCACAGAAAGGCGTTGAATAAAACTACACCAAATCTATGGGAGATCTCCTGATTTTGTCTAGTCTTTCATGAGTCAAAATACATTACTATTAGAAGGCATTTGAGATCACATGTTTTCTGCTTTATCTAGATATATCTAATCTTTTAAAGTGCATTCTTGAAGGCGGAAGTGAGGAAAAGAGAGGAAAAAGAAGCCGCTGAAGCTTTAAAACGAGAACAAGAACTCCGTGAAGCGAAGAGGCAGCAGCAGAGGCTTAATTTTCTGTTATCACAAACGGAACTTTATAGTCACTTCATGCAGAATAAGACCTCACAACCCTCTGAGTTGGGTGAGGAAAAAACTCATGACCAAGAAGATCGGGCAGAGGAGGAAGATGATCCTGAAGATGCTGAACTACGAAAGGAAGCTCTCAGGGCGGCTCAAGATGCAGTTTCGAAGCAGAAAATGATGCTGAGTGCATTTGATAATGAATGCTTAAAGCTACGTATTGCTTCGGATGCCGACGCCTCTCTTCAAGATGGCTCAGCTGCTGAGTCTAGCAACATTGATCTATTGCATCCGTATGTATCTATAGTTCTATCTAAAACATTGCATTCTTATTATGTTGGATGCAAAATATGGTTAACACGCTTTAAACCTAAATGAAAAGAGAAACT